ACAGGCCTCTCTCATCTTTTTAAGTGGGAGAACTTGCACAATTGGTGGATGACTAAATACTTTTTTGCCCCACTGTAGTATTTACCTGAAATAATCCATGAACTAAAAGATGCAGATGTCAAATTCAAGGTAGTGCAATTGCAGTGAAACCTCGTTTTAAAGAATGTCAGTTATTCACTAATATCTTTTAAATACAAAATTAAATTGTCTCAGTAATTTGCCATTTGCATGATAATATCATCTGGCAAATGACATGTAAAACGTCTGTATAATGTGGAAATTTGGTCTGTTGCATGCAGTCCCTGTATCAAGGTCTGGAAAGTTTGAGAAAATTTCACTGCATATGCTAAATGATTACCAAGTCTCAATGTTGTTCATTCCCATCATCTTCTGTAGTGCAGCCACATGGATGGGTCCAAAAAATCCTGCTTAAGATTTATAATTTAGTGTTACATTTGAACCATAAATGCAGCTGATCCTTGTATTATCTTGTTAATAAATGTGTTTTGAGATGCTATTTGGAGAATCTTAGTGGGTATATTTTTTAAACCCAAGGAGCATTGCAGGGATTTTTTTTTTCACCTGCTTTCTTGTCTCTGTTGTCTTTTCTCCTTTCCCCAGGTTGATTTTTTTTTAAAAAATCCCTTCACAAAATAACTATTCTAAAATGGTCTGTACCTGAAAGCATAGATTATTTAGAATGTGAACTTTATGGTTTGTGATTAGTGGAAAGTGTCATTATCATTTCCCATATAATGTAATGATTTTTTCCCCTTCTGCCTAGTTAGTAAACACTAATTTGTGAAGTAAACCATTGGCACATATTCTCTTCATTTCTTCTCTCCTTTCTTTATTCTTCCCTCATTATTTTCTAAAATTCTAAAATTGATAAATGGAAGTCCATCTTTTCTCTGTGAGTATTGTATATATTACTGTATGCAGATTTGCGATAGATAGATAGATAGATAGATAGATAGATAGATAGATAGATAGATAGAATTATAGATAGATAGATTTTTTTTTCACCCTCTTTAGGGTCATCTTCAACAAGAACCACATAGGCTCACATATCAGGGTGCAATTCCTTTTACCTGAAGTGCATAATTTTTAAAAAATACAGGATCCTTATCTATGACCAAATTATATTAGTGTTTTAAAGCTGCAGGTTTCCTAATACTATCAGAGGTTTTTCACTTACACAGCAGTAGCCATTGCCAGAATCAGATGCTTGTTCCCCTTCTTCCAAATGATGCCTGGTGGATTCTAAAATTATGCTGAAGATCCTCTAGCTCTGTTTCATATTAAGACTTTTTTTTAATATGTTCAATTGTGTCTGGTTCTCGGAGACTGCCTGGACAAGTCCCTGCAGTTTTATTGGCAAGGTTTTTCAGAAGTGGTTTGCCATTGCTTCCTTCCTAGGGCTGAGAGAGAGTGACTGGCTCAAGGTCACCCCGCTGGCTTTGTGCCTACGGTGGGACTAGAACTCACAGTCTCCTGGTGTCTAGCCTTATGCCTTAACCACTACACCAAACTGCCTCTATTAAGACTTATATCCAAGCATATATTTCCAGTTATTATATACTTTCCTTTTACCTTGTCTCTGGGAAGCAAATATATATGAATCAAGGTTAAGGTTTTATTTATTTTTCATTTCAGTGTTGAGGCCACCCAACTCCACAGCAACTCTGCACAGCTCACAGTTTAAAAAAATAAAAGAAATTTAAAAGATAACAGAAATATCAAAATAAAAGTGTATGGGTAACTGGAAGTCAGAACCAAAAGACCCCAAAGGCTCATAACTACCATCCATGCCCAAGGCCTGGGAGAACAATTAGGTCTTTAACAATTTGCAGAAAGTCAAAAGGGTGAGAGCCATAAAGATCTCTGGGGGTATATCATTCCACAGGGCAGGAGTGATCACCAAGAAGTCATGCTTTCTGGGTCCCATGAGGTGGCACTGCTTAATCAACAAGATCTGTGCCCACTCTAGCTGACTGCACTGTATGGACAGAAATGTATAGAGACAAGCAGTCCCTTAAGTAGCCTTAAGTATGCCATGAAGGGCTTTATGGGTGATAAGAAGCACCTTGAATTGTACCCAGGAGTCAACTGGCAATCAGTGCAGCTCAAAAAGGAGAGGGAACATGTGTGTGTTCCACAACATACCCATCACTGCCCATGCAGCTGTCTTCTGGACCAGTGGTAGCTTTGGAGTGGTCTTCAAGGTCAGCTCCAAGTAGAATGCATTATAATAGTCCAACTGATTGATCAAGGCATGAGTGATGGAAGGGCCTTAGTCCAGGAACAGGTGCCACTGGCACACCAGATGAACCTGTACAGAGGCTTCAAGAGGACCTCCCAGATTGTGCACTAGTCTTGCATGGGGATGTGCACCCCATTAAAGACTAAAGATGGAATATCCCCAGAAGCAGGGGGTCAAGCAAAGAAACCCACTTGTCTTGTCAGATTGAACTAAGTCTGTTCCTCCTCACCGCACAGAATATTCCTTGCAGCAGCCCTGGAGACAGTCCTGTGATTCATCCCTCCACAGCAGGGATTAGGTCACCTTAAACAGGGCCACTGGGTGGCTATTGGCAGATGCAATATAAGGATGGGAAAATAACCTTGTTTCACTGCCCTTATCATCACGATGTAAGCCTTAATATAGATCAGTGTTTCTCAACCTTGGCAGCTTGAGGATGGGTGGACTTCATGCTGGCTGGGGAATTCTGGGAGTTGAAGCCCACCCATCCTCAAGTTGCCAAGGTTGAGAAACACTGATATAGATTTTTGCCCATGTTTGATCAGATTCACTCTTCATCTTCCTCCAATGGTGCTCTAAACATGTCTTCTTGCACTTCATCTCCCAGAGCTGCTCAAAAAACTCGGACACGCCCAGGATTGGAGCAAGGGGAGAGGCTGCATAGGGGCAATACAGTCCAAAGTCTCATTCGGTTGCAGTGGGAAAAGCAATTGTAACCTGAAATCACCCAAGAATATTTACCACCCAAATGGGATTTATCTTCACATTAGGCCTTGTTAGGAATCCGTAACAGAAACAAAATTAACAATTTGCCATTGTGCAAAGAATTATGACCGAGATTGATTTACCCGAGTAGGTAATTTTTACCAAAATATGTGTGTTTAAGGAAATCAAGTATTCTGGCAGCCTGATCTCAAGATTTCTGGAAACCGTCACAAAGTCATAATCACAGTGGTACTTGGTTACATTGGCACTAAATTTCACATTGAACTCAAGCACAGATGGGGAATATGACATATTACTGTGATACAACCAAATTAGCATTAAGGAAAAGTTTGAGAATGATTTTTTAAATTCCCAGAGTCAGCATCATTACCAATGTCCTACCACAGAGCACAAATCTATTTAGTTCCTATTAAAATGTCCATTAGAAAAGTTGCAGTTCTGTGTTTCTTTGAGATGACATTTCTGCAAAGTTGCTGTACAGCATTTTGTTTTGTTTTTTTTAATAAGGTGACTTCCATAAGAAACACATGGAGTAGCATTAGATCTTAACAGCCATGTTGTATGAATCCCTATTTAGAATTAAACTCTGCTGGTTTCAGTAACTTTTTCCCAAGTAAGTGTACACAGGATTATAACTTAAACATAATAATAACAAGCTGTAAATGGGATTAGTACATAAAATTTCAAAATAAAAACAGATGGGATTATATTCTACAACTGAAGAGCTCTTTAAAATGTTTTCCCCTTTTAAGAAACTCACCATGAGTCCAGCTTTCTATGGTGTCACAGTGTATGGTTAACAATTTTGCCCAGCAGCAGGATTATGTGGGGGAAAGTAGTATTTTAATGGCTTTTGAGATGGCTGCTGCCCCAAGCAAATTTGATGGCCTACATTTTGCTTGCTCAGTGCATAATGTAAACCAGGGATAGGCAACCTGATGACCATGAGCACCAGTGTACCCATGGACACATCCTTTCCTTGTTTTAAAGGGAGAGTGACATGCTACAATGTAAGCTTTTAGCATCAGCATCATTTGCACATAGAACCTCCAAAGGCATTCTTAGAAAGTAAAAATGGTGTGTGTGTGTGTGTGGCTACAGCCCAATGTTTTGTTTGATGATGTGAACACCTACTCAGTGGTAGAATGCATCCTAGGGGGAAAAGGGGAGCAACCTTATCAGTTTACCTTTGATGAGTATTTGTGACTGGTCATACCCCGCAGCCATGCTGCAGAAGAGTCCACGTCACATTCCCAAAATTCTACATGTGTCTGTTGGCTTGAAGAGGTTGCCTACTCCTGGTATATATTTGAAGGCAGCCCTTTTCCAGTTTTTTTCTTTCGTTTGTATTTCATAATAAGATCCTTGCATGTTGATTTGGTGAGCAGTAGAACAAGTTCATGAGGTCAATGGCTGTTTTGTTCTTCTAATTGGCACAGGAATTTCCTTTTTTTACTTTGACGGCGTTTCCTCCAGGCTTCCTTCTCCACGTTGGTGGTGTTGTCAGTGCCCGCTCTGTGAAACTCTTGGATCGTATCCACAATCCTGGTATGTTAATAAGCCTAAATCTAGTTATATTTTGTTCTGACTTGTTTCTTTGTATTTATGTTTATCATTTGCTGGAGATAAGAACTTGGAAAATGTTTAATGGTTAAACATACACAGTGTTTAACAAACATTTTAAGACTACTTCCTTGTAGTCTTTTCTGTACCATTGGGCTATATAACACATATGACATCACTCCAAAATTAATTACTTTCATTTTGTTTCTAGATTCTGAATATGTTTATCATTTGCTGGAGATAAGAACTTGGAAAATGTTTAATGGTTAAACATACACAGTGTTTAACAAACATTTTAAGACTACTTCCTTGTAGTCTTTTCTGTACCATTGGGCTATATAACACATATGACATCACTCCAAAATTAATTACTTTCATTTTGTTTCTAGATTCTGAAATTAAAACTCCTAGTAAGAGTAAGACTTTGAATAAATATCTAAGTGCAAACTTATTAAATCTTCTTTACTATCTCTTTTTAAACTTTAGAAGTTGCCTTTGAAGAATAAATGATGATGATTTAAATAACGTTCCTAAAATTACATAAAATGTCTTTAAAAGATTCTTTTAACCCAATCAGAAGTATAGTTTGGAAATAGAAAATTTCTTCTTCCAACTAGATGAGGAAATGATTAGGAATGACTTTTTAGAGATGGTTGGCTCCCAGTGCCTAATCTGTTCTGCTAATGCTAGAGAATGCATGTTAGACAAAGGTCTTTCTTGTAATGTTGGCCTTTACATTCTGATTTTAACCATTTTCCATTCTAATAATTTCCCCTATGGAACAGAATGTGGATTGGTCTTGGTGGAGTCTTACTGACTCAGGATTAATTTGGGAATTATAGGATTAGTGCAGGAAGTTCTAGAAAATGATTATTTAGACTTGTCACCTTGAAAAATATTCTACCCTTCTTTGCCTAGCATAGGTTTAAAGAACCTTCACCCATCCAGGAGCTCAAGCAGCAGCCGTGACTCTGGCACAGAGATCTGTTGCTTTAGATAGCACTGAACAACCTCCCCCCCCCCCCCCCCCCCCC